CTTTAAGTTTCCCCTCATTCGTCAATGGTCAGCAAAATAGGCCACATCAGTGACGGACCTTCGGTCAATACTGACGGAATGATCACCTCTGCTGATAAAATGTACCACTCTATCTACTTTGCTCTTGGTAAAATTTTAAAGACTTCCAATAAATAATACGTTTTCAGCATAAATATACTGTAATGTAGCACTGAATGCTAAGAGCATACACAACATGTTTTGTGTTGACAGTCAACTGAACACGTTTTATATAAGTCCCTCCTTCACTCTAAAATGGTTGTGATGATTCTGAATGTAAATAGAGCCTTATTGGATAGGTGTCACTTGAAGTCTACATGGTAATAAACAGACAAAAAATATATAGGCTATTGGCATTGGAAGTGCTGAGTAAATCCAGCCCGAGTCCTCCGAGTTTGGGACTAATAGTTTATTGAACCTTTGCCCAGGAAATTATGTAATCACTGCTGCAATTAGCAAGATTATGCAAAAATAGCAGGCCACTTACTTTGAAATGGAAAGGAATTGTGGCGCGTGAGCCAAAGCTGACACCAATGAATATTGTGCCCATATGAGGAATTCCAACATAATCTGTCCCAGGCAGATTGATTTTCCTTTCCCACTGCTCTTTTTCATTTTGTTGTAAAATGCCATTGCTGTTTGCTGTTGGGAGCTCTACCTGCCTGTAAGGTTGAATGCCAAGAGATAAAAGCCATCGTTTGCACGCCACAGTTTCTCTTTCCTCACACAGCTGGGCGAGAATACCGTTGGGTGGACGAGGAGGGCCAGAGACTGGGGGGGCTTATTGTGACATTGGGGGGGATGGGGGAGGGAGTGGGAGGGGGGTACATTCCTTCCATCGGATCTGTGCTTCTGCTGACCGGGTCACTCCCAGTTCAGTCCCAGGAAACTGTGAGTGAAGAATTTCCTAAATGTGTCCATACTGGGGGCGGCCACATCTTGCACAGTGTGCTTTGAGCATTTGGAACGTGTGTGTGTGTGTGTGTGTGTGCGTGTGCGTCTGCGTGTGCATGTGCGTGTGTGTGGGGGGGGGGGGGGGGGGGGGGGGTGCGTGTGTGTTCTGACTTCCAGGCTTCCTAGAGTTGTGGAGCCATACACATGGTTGCATTGTGGGGACCCAGCTTTTGTTCTTTCGGGGATATTATAAATCTCATCTTTCTTCTTCTTCTTTCGGCTTTTCACTTCAGGGGGTCACCACAGCGAATCAGCTGCCGCCATCTTACCCTGTTTTGTGCATCCCTTTCTCTCACACCAGCTAATTTCATGTCCTCTTTCACTACATCCATAAACCTCCTCTTTGGTCTTCCTCTTACCCTCCTGCCTGGCAGTTCAAGACTCAGCATCCTTCTCCCAATATATTCACTCTCTCTCCTCTGGACATGTACAAACCATCTCAGTCTGGCCTCTCTGACTTTCTCTCCAAAACCTCCAACATCAGTTGTCCCTCTGATGTACTCATTCCGGATCCTATCCAACCTGGTCACTCCCAAAGAGAACCTCAACATCTTCATCTCTGCTACCTCCAGCTCTGCCTCCTGTCTTTTCTTCAGTGGCACTGTCTCCAGTCCAAACAGCTTGGCTGGTCTCGCCACAGTTTTATCCACCCTTCCTTTCATCTTAGCTGAAACTCTTCTATCACACATCACACCTGACACTTTTCTTCGTGTGTGTGTGTGTGTGTGTGTGTGCGTGCGTGCGTGCGTGTGTGTGTGTGTGTGTGTGTGCACGCGCGCATGTGTGTTTGATGATTGTTACCGAGCACCTGCTATTGTATGTCCTGCATGTTATTTGATCACAAGTGCAACAATGGAGGGATAGGTTGCTGTAAACTGCAGACTCCATAGTCAGACAGGAAGGCTGGCAACTAGTGGCCACCGACTCGCACCAAGGCATGAGAAGAGGAAGAGGAGCCTGGCTCTATTGCTGACTACAAAGTACCCTCGCGTGGTGGGATGCCTCCGAGTGGTGCGAGAGGGGAATGCTGGGGCTCTTGGGCCCCTGAAGCGGCTAAATGCCCACCAGCCGGCGGGGAAGGAGGTGGGGTCTCACCAGAAGATGAGTCGCCCAGCGCTCTCCCCGCCGGAACGTACAGGAGTGGGAGTAGCCGCCCCACAACCCTCCTTAAACATGAATCAGGCGAGGGCCCTTCCGGGGCCCGCACTGGATGTGAACCTCGTGAGGCACCAGCGAGAGTCGTACCGGGTGTGGGACCCGGGAGTGGGGGGAGCAAGGCCCTGATGGGGGCCGATTGCCCCAAAGGAGGAGGAGGAGACTAGAAAGTAGAAAGGTGTGTTTTGAGAATAGTTCATTATTTAGTGACTTCTCCAAAAGAAATTGATCAAATTGAAAATGCAAGCTAATTTCATTTTGCTTATAAAAACATACATAAATAGTTTGGGATGAAAAATGGGCCATCCGGGCCAGATGATCCCCTTAAGACCAAATCCTCTGTCTTACCTATATCGACGATGGCTGATATTTTATTCATAAAAACTAGTTTACGGTATGTAGCATTCCACATTAATGTCTATGATTGACACTCCAGCACATCTGCTTTTGTGATAAACTTGCAGTCGAACTAAATATAAGCTGCTAGTGTGGCTGTAGACTCGATCACGTTCAATCTCATGCAGTTCATCATGACATGGCCATCTGTCGGTTATAAAACCATCACTGAGGACAATACAAATACGGAGAACATATGGCTGGAATTTACATGAGAATAATCTTGTGGTTCATTTCATCTTTATGAGTACAACATGATTTTGATTTCAAACACGTTTGTATTCTGGAGCATGCATTGCATTGTTTGATGGGGACATTCACTCAAGAGCATTGTTGGGCTTTAACAAAGGACTTGCATAATCATGCATTTATTTAACCGACTATGTATCGCAAGAATTCTAGCAAATCATTTTTTTGGTACTCCTGACACCAACGAAAACGATGCCAAAAAACATGGAATGATCTCCTCCTTTGAGAATTGTGGTTTCTGCTTAACATGGTTCAGATTTTTTTTTTTCTCAAGATGGCACAAAATATGATTGAAGGAAATGCGTTGACAATAGCTGTCTCCACTGGATGGGAAATAGTGAAAACGTTTACAGGGTGGGAAAAAAAAAACTGGGCTCCACAGTGACAAAAATACGACTTGCTTCAGCACATATGTTCATATACTGGAATATGTTTTGAAAGAATATTATTGATCCAGCGTGGCATGATGACTGTTGTTAACACACCTGACTCACAATTCTGAGGATTGGGGTTCGAATCTTAACTCCACCTTCCTGTTTGGAGTTTGCATGTTCTCCTGATGCCGGTGTGGATTTTCTCTGTGCGCTCAATCGTCCTCTCAGATTAAATATATCTTCTTTTTTTTTTTTGTGACACCAGTCCTGGAACTTTTCTGAAACAACCTCATGTGTACCCTGCAATTGGTTGGTGGCTGGTCCAATGTGTAATCAGCCCCTTGTCCAAAGTCAGTCTCGGATTTTGCCGAAATGATGTGTATTTCCTTTAGATTATTCTGAGATGAATGTATTTTATTTGTAAATCCAAATCATAATGGGTGGTCGTTGCTTTAAGAACATGTCAAAGATGTCTGCGTTCTGTTCTTCTCGTGCCAAGGCTGAATTACAAGTGTGGGTCTGGTCAAATGTATTTTGTAATACAGAGGAAAGAAAATACTAAGAATTCATTACCCACACACGTAGCTTGCATAATGAAGATTTTGTTTCTGCTCATCTGATTTCAGGTCTTTTGGAGAAGCTACATTTGCCCAATACAGTGACTGAGCGGTTTTAAGTCCTTTTCTGATAGTATAGTGCCCCCTTGTGGCCGCATCGCTTGGTGACCTATAAAACCTTATTACAATAGGGATTTTACCATGCATTGTAATTTACAGCTTTGACATTTCATTAAAAAATTATTATCATGAAAATGTGATGTGCTAGAGAAAAAAAAACATTGCAGATTCTGAACCAGTGCAAAAAAATAGTCTGGAAAATGTTACCTTTTTGTAAACGTTTATTATTAAGACAACATTTTACTTACCTAAGCCATCTGAGGGATTTTTTTTAAGAAAATTAATTCATTATTCATCTGTTTAAGATATTGGTGCAAGATTTTGATTAATTAAGATTTTACCACCCACGGGTCTTTCAAGGTATTTTTTGTTAACGCATTGCATGACATCTACAAATCTTTATCTATAAAGTTAATGAATACTATGATCATTATATCTGTCTATTAAAAAAATAAAAATAATACAACAACTAAGAACCAAATAAAAACAGCGCATTAAAAAAATAACAAAAACAAAGAAAACTGCTCTCAGAACTGAATTTTAAAAACAAATGTCAATGCTTCCTTTTGTCCTTTTTATTATATTTAGAGTACTCTTGACTTCTGTTGAAGTAAAAGGGTTTTCTTCATCAAGGAAAGGATCATCTGATCATCCTCTTGTCTTCTGTGGTAGTCTTGTGATGCATGTTTTGTTGAAGTTGAGTTGACCAGTTTTTCCTTCCTTTCAAAGAAATTCCAAAGCGTGAAACAGCTCCTCTTTTGTATTAATACCCCTGTGCTAATAATGGCCGTAATGGCGATGGCAATGTAATCTCCTTGCACATCAAATCAGACAGCTTTCAAATGCCCTCTTATTACTTAATATTAACTCCAGATTTGTTATCACTGCAATACCACAGTAATCTACCACGATAAGAAGAATGCCTGACTTCAGATTGGATAATAGCATGGGACCAAAACTCTGTATTAAGTTGTCATAGACAAGCATGCAACGACACCAAAAATACCCAAATCACAATCTTTGACTTCACGCCACCCCGAGTCATGTGACAGTTGACCCCATCCCTCATCCACACCCACAGAGACAAAGGTAAAGACACACGTAAGTAAAGTGTGACCTAACAGCAAAAAAGTGGTCCCCGCAAAGCATATAAACGCGTATGTGTGTGTGTGTGTGTGTGTGTGTGTGTGTGTGTGTGAGAGCGTTGGACCACCAGATAGCACTTCCTCTCCCATCAGTCAGCAGTGCAGTGATGGCCCAAGTAAAACTAACAAGGGATGCGATGAGGAGTCATCAGGACTGTGCTGACGTGTACTCTAATATGGCCACTGTCAGCTCCACTGCGGGTAAGTTCATAAAGCCAGATTTATTCACATAATAATTTTCCCATTTGGAACAAAAAAAAAACAAAACTATTTTATCAATTACTTTTCATTCATGGTGTTTTATTCAAGTAAATCGATGATGCAGAATGAACTTGATTGAGGGATCTTTTATGAAAAAGGTAAATAAAGTAATGCAATGTCATTATGTGTCTTCCAAATGTACATATATATATATATATATATATGTACATTTGGAGCATGTAGTACGTACACTGTTACTTGACATGCTGATGGATAAATATATATACTAAATATATATAAAGGGTACGCTTAAACAGCACAATGTAACTCCAAGTGTTCCCTTCATTCTTTCATAAATAGAATGAAATACAAACAACCAGTGGCAGGAAATTTAATTAATAAATTTATAAGGACTTTAACCCTTGTCATATGTGTTTTTGATACCTGTAGTTGAAGGTGTATCATATTGAGCGTATTTTTGTCTAATTTAGGTTGCACTATGTTTTTATTTTTAAATATAGATTGTGTGTAAAATAGTGACATCCATGTCAATTCCTTGCACAACTTGCATTGCTCACCTACGTATTGTTTGTAAAAATTACGATTTTCCCAGGTTATAATAATAATGACATTTATTGATACAAGGTAATAATAATAATTATGTGTAATAAATAATGAGCCCGGTGTTACCTGTGTACTACTGCTGTGAATGGTTAGAAGCAGAGAAACATAAGATTATTCTATTATTATTTTGTAATAAATAATGAGCCCGGTGTTACCTGTGTACTTCTGCTGTGAATGGTTCGAAGCAGAGAAACATAAGATTATTGAAACTGGCCTTTTTGACAGGGCAAGGTTAGCTCAGTTTCCCACTCTGGCAAATTAGTCCTTTCGCTGGTAGTTGTGGTAATAATCTGCATCAAATCCCTCCGTTTCTGGTATCTTTTCTCACGAGCTTGTGTTTGGCTGCAAAAGCTCTCTGGCTCTCATGTTGCTTCATGGCAGTGGGAACCATGAAGTCTGGGTAATCCCTCTTTTATCAAAAAAGTCATCAGTGAGCTAACAAGTTAAGTCATGCTTTTCGCGTGATCCCAACCTGAGGAAGGCAAAGAAATCACGAAACAGGAGATGAAGAATTGTCTTGAAGTACAAGTAAAGGTGCAAAACCTCACCCTCTTTGTTCACCCTGAAAGCAGATATTGGAGATCCGTTGAGCAAGGGGTCATTGAGTGAGACCTCTGCGGCTGTGACTGTTGGCCGACGGAGCCGAGCTTTTCAGTCTCCGGTGAGAAGACGCCTCCGCACCACCTTCAGCCACAAGCAGCTAGAACATCTGGAGATGGCCTTCGGACAGAACCAGTATCCTGACATCTACTATAGAGAGGAGCTGGCCCGAATCACAAAGCTCAATGAGGCTCGCATCCAGGTACACGCTACATGAGGGTCTACAGACTAAAGCCGACTTGCAGAATTTACAACACCAAATTTGGTTTTGGTGTGCGTGAGGTTCTACGTTGATGTGTCTATCTCACTTTGCCATTGGTCAATGAAAGAGAAATGTGCAATGGCACATCAAGCTTTGGCTGCTAGCATAACACAAATTTATCTTACAGTCACAAGTATTCTAAGTAGGATACATTACGTTTGGACACATATGTTTTCTCAGAATTTGATATAAAATATATCAGAGACTAAGGAAATCTGGTGGGACACTGTCAGCAGCCCAGAGTTATAACTGGGTACAATAGTCACTTCCTTCTATCGTCACTTAGTAAGAATAAGAATAAGAAGACCTTTATTCGTCTCACAATGGAAAAATTCCCAATTTACACCAGCAAAGTTATAAAAGAAAGAAAGTAGAAGAACAAAAAGTATAGGAGAGGCTGTAAAGGCAGCCACTCTCGCGGCACCATCTTGAAGTCATAATAACATAACATAATCGCATTATACAATGCTTTCTGGATTCTGATGAAGACTTCAAAAAGACATTGTTCATTTTTATTCACAGTGTCTGACATGTCCGTAGCATGGTTGAATCAGGATCAATGACTAAAGCATACTTGACACACTATTTCGGAAACCAGTTTGTTTTTATTTTGGGCTGACCTAGCTCATGCAAGTGAGCCAGCCATTATCCTACCCCATAAACTGCTAGGAAAACGGTGAGTCTTGCTTTCATTATCATGATAATCAACGACAGTGCCTCAGATTTGCCGCTACCAATGCTTTGAGGGATGCCTGCTGTCATCTGGCAGGCAAGTATACTGGTGCTGGATCTCACCGGAAAGTGAAAGTCATTGGTCCTCTCTTTTTTTAATCGCATTAGCAATTTAGATTTTAAGTGGGTGTAATCTTTCCAAATGGTTTGTCTTTACGCTTTGTTTTGTTTTTCTGAAGCAGAATTGAAAACATACACTGTTAAAAAAATGTTGGGTGAAACCAAAATTTCAAGGCAACAAACTCTCGCATTTCAGTTCATTTTCATGAAACAAAAAGACAGGATGTTAAAGAACTAACTAACTAAATAACTAACATTGCTGCCATAAATGTCAGTCATTTATATTTTAAAGTTGTTCCAACTTAAATTTCTTTTATTTTTGTTCTTCACGGTTCATTTAAAGAAGATGGATGTGTGATTACATGTTTCCATTTAGTTGTTATTGCCTCTTGTCTGCTAATCCATCAATGTCTTGTCAACGCGTCAACAGGTGTGGTTTCAGAACAGAAGAGCCAAACAGCGCAAGCACGAGCGGGTCTCCCCAAAAGTGCACCCCCTGGGTGTGATGTCGGGCCACAGAGCACTACTGGGCAGCATGCAGGTCACACCATCCATGGCCCGGCAATACTACGGCCAGCCCCTGGCCCACATTCCCCACGTTGCTGCGGTGCTGCCTACCAGAGTGTACCCCCACCATTCCCAAGGTCCGGTCAGCCCGTATCCGTGTCCCCCCATCACGGCGCAGGCGACCTCTCAGCAGCAGCATGAAGAATGGTACAGCCACATGAGGAGCAACCTGACCTCAACCATGTTCTCTTTGACATCCATGCAGCCCCTGGAATCTTCCTCTCATTGGAGCTAAGCATTGTAGGGTCCTCAGTCGGGATTTTTAGCTAGGATTTATGTATGTTCTGAGTACCAAGTCGGTCATTTCGGACTTGTATTAATTAGAAATGTATTACAGTGGAGATTATGTATTACAGCGGCGCAATAATTATGCTGCTGGTGTTCATGCCCACAACCACAATGTGTACCAGCCATAATGAGTCTGTTATTTTCAATCAAACCAATTTGTAATCCTCAATTCATAATCTGCAGGAGCACGCTGGTGGCCGCCCACCCAAAAGTTGTGTAGCTCCACACTACTTAAACTACAACCACAGTCAACAAATTGTTTGAATGAACACTTGACAGTGGTAATAGAAGACTGTGCATGTTTGTTACTTCGTTAATTGGCTCTCATTCAACTGTGCCAGTATACCCAATAAAGTACACTCATAAAAACAAACCCGGGTGAAAATATTTAGTGTTTCTTTATTGCACTTTACTAGTTGTACAATGGCTTTCAAACTAGTTGCATTAGTTGGTGCTGGAAAAATCAATGAACGAGAACAATACCATCTCTTGATTACAGATTTTAATAGTTCACATTCCAGTGAAAAACTTTTGTTTTTAAATACCGGTATTTGTTTTCAACAGCAACCTGACTGAAGAAATTATACAAGATGGGAAAATATATGTTGAGAGAATAACAAACTGTACATTGTCAAAAATCAGATGGATTTGACAGTTTTAAAGATGTTTTCATCTCGAGGCAGCGTAGGTGTGTGTGTGTGTGAGTTTAGCTTCAAAGGTTTACAAACAAAGAGCAGCAACCAGCCAGTTTCAGCCAGCGTTCGAAAGACAGCATTGCACGACGGCACTGCATTACATTCACTGTGACGGGTTCCGGTCACATATCCGCATAGCCGCATGAAGACAGCGAGGCAGACAGTCACTGGCCCATACGTACTGTATAATTCTTTGACAATCATCATCAAGACACAACTTTCAGAAAAATGTTGCAATCACGGGTACTACATATCACTTTTTTGGTTTATGAAACTCGACTGTCCCATCATCATATGGGAAGAAGCAAGGTATGCAACCTTGGCAAGCCACTCCAAAGGGACTGGGGAAAAAAAATGATTTGTGTCAATCAGCCTTTAAAAAGGCACTAATTCTAAGAAACGACAAGAATGGAAAATGTAGAGCTTTTGCTCACATGGGTTCAAAGGGGTACGTTGCCCGTTTTGCCGTTTTAAATTAGCAGATTTGCTGCTCCAGAAGGGACGGAAAACTTAATTTGCTACCTACAGGACCGACTGGTCCTTCCAAAGAGAAAATGGTGCTCTTCCAGGGCGCCACTGTGATGGCCTCTGCAGCTTCATGATGACATTGTTGTGGACAAAGAAGTGGAAACAGTATGGTGCTGGGTGATGTGTTATTCCAGTGATTTGGCAAACTCTGCGTAGTCTATGTAACCGTCATTGTTTTTGTCATCCTCCCTTAGAACATCATCGATGAGCTTCATTAGCATTTCCTCTCCTATTGGTTGGCTGTCCTTCCCTCCCTCCTAAAAAAGAAAAACAAGTGACATCCATTCAAATCAATTCAATTACATTGGGGAATAT